CCGGCTCCTTTTGTTGATCATCAGAAAGCAAAGAGGGTTAGAAATGATGTCAATGTTCATAAAGACACTATAAAGGTTGAAATTGATGCTTCGAACCCTGATCATCACTTGGTTTCTTTCGTTTTCGATGCTTTGTTTGATGGGAGGTCAGTATTTGATTTGCTAGTCTTAGATTCTTGAATTCTTGCTTTTGTTTTGATAATGGAGAGGCTTTCGATATATTGGTTGTTTGTTACCTGTTATTTGATTAAGGGTTTGCTACTGTTGCTAAATTCACATGGAATATTTGGTTTGTTTAAGAAATTAAGTCAAGATCTTGAATTCTGTAATTTCGATTAGCTACGAGCTGGGAAAGGAAATCTGGGTGATTAACTTTGTTGAATCCTTTTATTTATAGTTTATATGAGGTGAGATTTTGTAATGTTTTGAGTGGCTGAAGGAATTGAAGCAAGATAAAGAGTGACCACTCCCGATGAGGGATGATCCCAATATACATTATTAGGTGACCTTTTAATGTTGAAAACATTGAGTTCCCCAAATCTTGTTGAGTTTTCACAGTTGGGGATTCGATGCTAATTGGGGATTGGGATGATATCTCAAGTGATGTATGGGTTGATGGAGGCCGTGATATAGAGTATGGACCTTATGCATTTTATCTCTTAATAGTTGACTCTCTAGAGTGCCTTTGATGGTGGAAATGAGAGTAGTGAAGGGTTTCAAAAATGAAAATTGCAAGAACGAGCATAACAGATAAGTTTGAAGGGATTTAACATAGAGTGACACAACCATAACCAAAGCCTGAGTTTGTTTTTCCATGTTATCCTTGCCGATATATAGCTGTAGAGATACATGGAGATCGTGGACTGTGGTTGTTTATACGCTGCAAATGCTGGCCATTTTTCCTATGACATATAAATTAGTAAATTTCGGTGAATAGTCCTAAGCTGAGGTGATTAGTGAGGAAAGGGAGTTTAGTCCAGCTAAATTGCTTGTTAGAAAAGGAATATAGTTTAGTAGCGATACTGATTGTGCGCAATTTATAAGTCTAGTAGCAAGATACTACAATCAAACATCAAAATGGTTGTGAATAAGAATTAAACGGTCAAATACAAGCTACTACAAGAATACTGTTCAAAAGTGCCATATGATGCCTTGATTTTTCATCATATGGGCTTCAGTAGTAACTGTTTTTGTTTTACCCTGAGGTTTCAGTATCATTGTTTTTGTTTATTATTGTTTTAAATACAACGTAATTTACTACTGTTGTAATCAAGGTTTCCTTGGTTTGTATGCTGACTGACAGTTTTTTTTTTTTTTTTTTGGAGAAAAGACTGATAGAGTTAATATATTTGAAGTTTCACCATAGTGGCTTTATGATGTCAGAAATTAACTCAACCAAAAGTTTAACATTTATAATTACACAAGGACAATATGAATGAAATGTGTAGCCTGTGTATTTATTTAAATATTAAGGATGGCCTGAAATTTTCACATATTGACCATCTAATTAGCCAGATATTAGTTGGATTTGTTCCATTAACACCCCACCCACCACCACCCACCCCCCCCCCCCCCCAAAAAAAAAAACCCCCCACATGCTGGTTGGAAGAAACTATCATAGACCTTCCATTATAAGCACAGGCTCTTGTTTAGTCTAGGAAGAGTTTCACATTTGATAATAAGTGAAAATGTCACCGGCATTTATTTTTTAGAAAATACTGATGTATTAATGCTGCAATGTTAAGTTTCTAAAGTGAATCTTGTTTCATGAAAATTTCAATAGCATGAAACAATATGAATTAAGGAATTGTGGTGAGGAGTTGTAACTTCTAAAGAAGCAATTCTAAACATTGATGCCTAATTTGTCTCTGGATTTGGGCATATTTCAACCCTACAATTTGACTTCTTTAAAAAGAAAATCCAAATGTCATAACATGAGAATCTCATTGGGATTCTTTCGTACTAGAACCAAAACACTAGATCCCTTCAGAACACTAGAAATACCAGCAATTAACAAAAAGCTGCATGCCAGCTTGATTTGATTCTATAAGTTTTCAAATCACATACACACAGACCTGGCACAAGCACCATGGATTATTATTTATTTTTTTTAAGAAAAAGAATCTAATACTGTTTCTTTGATTTTGTTTTCCAATAACAGCATTACAATTTTCTACTTTGCCAAGGAAGAGCAGGATGGTAGGTTTGTTCCTGCATTTCCTGAAGCCCATTTGCCTGTGAAAATCTCCTTTCAGAAAGGTCTTGGCCAGAAATTCCATCAGCCTTCAGGAACAGGCGTTGATCTGGGCTTCTTTGAGTTGGATGATCTTTCAAAATCTTCACCTGAAGGAGATGTTTTTCCACTTGTCATAGCTGCTGAAACACACTTGCCAGATAATTTAATAGATGATCATGATGATTCTGTGCCAAACACACTTCGCCACATGCAGATTACTCAAGCTGTTCTAGAGAAGAAAAATGGTGACTATTTCCATGTGAGAGTAATAAGGCAGATTCTGTGGGTTGCTGGAGTTCGATATGAGCTGCGTGAGATATATGGAATAGGAAGCTCAGCAGCTGAAGGCTTTGATGACAGTGACCCAGGGAAGGAGTGTGTGATTTGCATGACTGAACCTAAGGATACTGCCGTGTTACCTTGCCGACATATGGTGAGAATCCGCCTTATTTTGTTTACTATTTTAAGGCATGGTTGTCAATCATGAGGGAGAAGCTCTAGGTGGTGCTATCGCAAGCACAGCTAATGATTAACACACACCATTAAGGGTGATATCAGGAAAGTTGAATCTCTTATGCTTGAATTAGGCATCTTGAATTGACGGTTTAATTCAAGGCACATGAGTGCAAGTTATCTGATTTCTAGATTTATTTAGTGGATGCATCCCTCTGTCAATCTCTCTCACACACAAACAGGCATTGTCTATCTATAGTGATAAATTTGGCGAGTATTAATAATAGTCTATGTGGAAATCTGGACTTTCTCTATTGTTAATGTTCAGTATTTGATTTGCATAGAGTTTTTTTCAATGAAAATTTTCTCAAGGGGTGATTTACTTCTTTCTAGTGTGTAATTTCTTGAAGAAATATGTCTGCACTCTGCATTCAGTTATTACAAGTTTAAATCTCTCTTTCCCCTTACCTTTTTATTTTAACCTCTATTCCCATGTTCTCAAATCAAGCATGTTGTATCTTTTCAGTGCATGTGCAGTGAGTGTGCCAAAGAATTGTGGCTTCAATCAAAAAAGTGTCCCATATGCCGCCAACCAATTGAGCAACTCATAGGGATCAAGATAAATAGCAGTGATCAGTGACAAACTGTGTTCCTCATGAAGTTGGATTTATGGTATAATAGTTAAACTTTTTATTCTTATTTTAACTGTCGCTTTCCCCTATGAATGTGCGTTCTAATTTTTTTTGTATATTTTTTATCCTTTTTGTTTGTTCTTATTTTCTATATATATTTTTCTTGTGTCTTTGTACAAAATTACTTTGTAGGTCCAATCTTCCAAGGAGAATTTACTAACAGTAAACATTAAATGAATCTTTACCCACTTGTATTATTACCTTGATCATCTTGTTCTTGCAAAAACGTGTTTTTTAAACTATGTTGTGCATTATATGGCTTGCATTAGTTTGGCCCGGCCCTTTTTACTGTTAATTAACATTATGTATATGAGGCGAAGTGCAATCATTTTCCATCTCATGACCAAATCATGGTTGATATCGGACCAGGAATATGAAATATCTATATGTGCAGGTGCAATGATAGTTTGAAATTTTTCATGAATATGAGTATCTACATTAAAGTTAAGGATTTTTGGCTGTTTCTTTATTCTCTTAACCCTTTTAGGTAAGTAAGCCCATAGGTTCGTTGGATTCAGTTTCTGTTGGCATGTATCTATCATATGTGTATGTGCCTGTGAAATAGCTATTTTCATGTGTAAGTTAAGCATGGAGATTCCAAAGGTAGAAAGAGAAGCTGCAAGACAACTGGACTGAATGAACCTACTAGTAGGTCTACAGTAGCAAGCTTTTCCCTTCGAGTTAACAGCTGAAAAGATAGGCTTGGAGGGAATATTTGCCATTGAAGTTAGAACTGAAGGGGACAAATTGAGAATCTTCAAGGCTTATTTTGTAGATATGTTTGCCTTTGAACTGATCGCAGAACACAAAAGTTGTGCTTTGATATCATTGTTTTTGCATCGTATTGCTTGCCAGTGAAGGATGTACATATAATTTTTTTCCCCCTAAATTGCTCTGATTATGCATGCATGTGTCTTGTATTAATTCAACTGTGCTTTTTAGCGTGCCATTTTTCTGTAGTTTTTTAGACCTTGAAACTTTGCCTTTGAAGTCTTCTAAGTTTTGTATGATATGGTGTATTGGGGTAGCCTGTTAATTGGTTTAATCCGTGCGCGCCTGTCTCTTGCGTAAGTGATCTGTATGCAGTTCCTGTCATTTCTTAAATTTTAGCAAGATACAGTCTAGACAATGGATATGGTTAACCTTTTTGTGGAGGGAATCAAGATACCTCTGATACACTTCATTAATTTAAACTTATCCAGATTCCTTTCATCGCGTTTAACGAGTGTTAATTTGATGCTAAATGAAGTCTTAAACAAGAACGCCTGTTTGTTTTGAAAGGTAAAAGGAAGGTTTCATTCGAAAAAGAGGTAAAGAGAAGGATAAGGGAGTGGTGGGGGTAAGGCTGAAAAAAAGAGGGCATAATGTTGCTTCAAGGGCAAAAGGAGGACGGAGGTGAATTCTCTATCCGTCCAGCCTTCCAGGTCCCTTAAAGGCTTAAACCCCTGATTCATGTGATTCATCTTTCCGTCAACGCACGAAAAAACGGTCACATTGTTTTCTTTGCTCTCATGATGCCATGACCAACTAAAAGAACAAGAATGAAGGTCACTTTACTCTTCCTTCCTACCTTTCCTATCTTCTCCATTGCCAATCAGAATGTCGGTGGTTGCAATTTTTCACTTGGCTATACCACCAGCATCAAGAATGGATGAAACTAAGCAAGCAACTGTCTTTCCTTCGTACAAATTAGTCCTTGGCAGCTGCCATTTTCAAATCATAGAATTACGTACGGTGCATTGATTAGGTTTGAGGAGTCGGTCATTATTAAAATTATTTTGTTAAGTCACAATCATTTACTTAAAGCAAAAGGGTTTTAAATTAAAAAAAAAAAAAATTCAGTATTAGCTAGGAATGATCATGGTAATAAATTAAACTAACTTTAATTTTGAATTATATGCCACACTCTCCCACCCACAAAACGGTAGGAAATGTCATTTAGTGATGGAAGATACTGCTCTTCTTGGTGCTGTCCATCTGGCTACCATCCACATATATGCACATGCTTTTGTCTGAAATAGGAACCAGCTGTGGAATGATATTCTGGGAAGGGAAAAATCACACTAACAAATATCAATGGGAAATATGTATCTGAGAAGGGATTGATAAAACTAGAAAATTTAACCCAAAATGGGCATGGTGAAGAGGTCCCTATGACAAGTTCCTCGTGAATATGTGAAGGAAGATAGACACGTGATGGGAGTTACAGTGTACCGTTTTTACAAGTCAAACTGTCATTAATTTTCTTTTACCGTAGCGTCAGGGAAGCTTTTAATTTCTTGGATTCTTCTGGGTTCTGATGATGTTGAAGAAGGAGAAAACAGACGAAAAAAAATCAAAGACTGCCCATAATATGTAGTCAAAACGGTATGACATCTATGCCTCTATTATTATTATTTACCGATGTAGACCATAAATCTAGAGGTAGAACAAAGAAAGATTGTATAGGGACCATGCTTGCATGTGATGATCATAGCAATTTCTATAGATCCAAAATAAATGACCTTCCATCCATCCACCCATATATATATAATTCATTATCCACACACCATGTGGGCGCTTATGTGGTATCCTGAACTTAAATAGCAATTCCTGTGCCTAGTTGCTCAGATGTTTCCTCTAGGAATGTTCGCTATTCGGATAAAATCAAAATATCGAACCGAATTAACAATTTCGGTTTGGTTTTTTTAAAAAAATTTTAAAAAAAATCGAAATTATTTCTGTTCGGTTCGATTTTTTTTTCAAATTCAGTTTCCACCGAAAACCGAATTAGTTTTTTTTTTTTTAAACACACACTCAAACTCTTTTAAAAAAAAAAAATCAAAGAGGCATCTATGGGTTTAACTAAAAAAACAATAGCTTTAATGAATTTTTTCTACTTAAAATAGAAATATTTTTCATTAATTGTTTATTGAAATAAAAAATAATTGATTATATTATATTGACTCAAAAAAAAAAAAAGACTATGATAAAGAAATTCTTTATGAAAACACAAATTTATATTTGAATCCTAAAACCTCATGAAAAAAAAAATTGTCTCCTTGTATTAAAATTGGCACAAACATAAATTAAAAATTGAATTTTTCATATTATATATTCAACAATAAAATATGCATAAAATAAATAGATTAAAAAAAAGAATATGAAAAATTAATAAAAAATCAATTATAACGTGATTGAAAAAATAATGAGAAGCCCAACTAATTTAGTTTATAATATAAATATAAACATATTTATTATAGAAAAATAATAATAATAATACATAATTTTCTTATAAAATCAAATGTGAAATATGCAATCTTTGATTATGTAAGTTTGATATTTTTTAAAAGCAAAATAATTCGATTTTTAGAAAAAAAAAAAAAAAGGTTTTTAACCGAAAAACCGAACCGAAAAAATTTGGTTTTTAACCGAAAACCGAACAACAATTCGGTTCGGTTTTGGTTTTTGTTTTAGCCAATTTGATTAACCGAAAACCGAAAAAAAACACCGAAACCGAACCGAAAAACCGAATGAACACCCTTAGTTTCCTCTTAAGAACTAAAGAGCCAAAAGGGAGTAAAACCAAACCAGAAATGGCTGTTGGGTTCTTAAATTCATTCAAATTTACCCAACAACCATTCAAAAATGCAAAACTCAACCTAGCAACTGGGATATGTGGCTTGTTTTTGGACTTGAAAAGGGATATACACATGGCACATTAGTAAATGAAAACTTACAGCACAAATTTGACCTTCTTCACTGTGACATAATGTTTAGCATCTGTTAATCAAACAGAACGTACTTGTCTCTTTGCTTAAATTAGGGCAGGAAAACCGTCTGGTTTAGGTCATTTGTCGCCGTTATTCAAGTGCCTTTTTTACAGGTAAAGTTGCACAAGGGTTTCGTCACAATTTAGGCTTTTAAGGAGGACAACAACAGCTTGGTGGAAAAAGAAGACTTGAAAACATAAATAAAATAGCCCTACAAACGTGATATTTTGTCCAATCTTTGGCCTAGCTAAGTTCGTAGTAGCTTTCTTTACCTAATTGCTCTTAAAGTAAGACATGATTAAACCAAAAGCGCTTTCATTAGTTACATAACTTGTCCATGGCCACTTTCTTTATAAAGGTTCCCTCTCTCAACTAGATCACGCTGGATTTTTTTATTTTCTTTGCCAATCATATGATAAAATCCCAATTATATATAGAACAAGTTAATATCTTCATTATATTAGTCTCCCCAATAAGCAATGGTCATTTTCCTAGCTAGTGGCATCAATTTTTTCTTTTACCAAAAGAAGGCATTACTTTCTATTCTATTTAGCCAACTTTTATTGTGTTAGGTAATTCTTACTTATTTGAACAGATTTAATTACTAGAAGTTGATAGCACCATTATATATATATATATATATATATATATATATAGTATGATGAATATGAATACAGACACATCTTACATTGTAGGCAATCCTTGTGAAGCCACAGGCAGCCTCCTCAAGGAAAAGACCCATTTACAGCTTGAGAAAGGACTAATGCTCTTAATTACTTTCATCTAATTTCAATTAACTACATGATCTTCTGATGAATAGGCCAGCTTATACGATAGTGTTGGGTAACTTTCAACAGTTTCGAAGTAGGGAGGGTAATAAACATCTGTAAATGTATTCTTGGAAACTTGAAGATCAAGTAGACATGTTCACGAAAATATTATCATGGTTTGAATTTCCTCATAAATGTACCAATTACGATACAAAAACTTGTTTAAGAGTCAACAAATAACAGACTTGGTCTTGGTTTATAAAAATGAGTCGGAACAGTTTAATCTTGCTCGCTAAATTATCAAAGTAAGCACTCAATCCATGAGCTTCTTAGTCACAAAAAAAGGGCACAAAATGCTTTGCCTATCATTGGTGTACCTTGTACTAATATTTGATGGTACCTGCTTGTTAGTTGTCACTGATGTAACACTATTAGCAAGTCGTCACTGGTATAGTATATAGACGATTTCATTTTCTTGACAGGTTGGAACACCAAATCTAATTGAGCAATTTCTCTTGGTTTTACTTGATAGTTAGGCCTGGTTTAGGTCTGTTTTTTTTTTTTTTTTTTTTTTTTTGACAAATGACATGGGTTTGAAGCAACGTATGAACTGGAATTAGGCCTTCCATGCATGAGCATGATCATCATAAATTGAGGAGGAAAGACAAATAACCATTGCCACTTTCACATTTTTTACATGTGCGATTTGTTTGTTAAATTCAGGGAGAAAACAGTCGAGCTCTGCTGATTTAGTAGATGTAAAAACAAGTCAACATTGGAACCTAACGATTGGATGGATTGATGCCTTGGGAATTTAGGACAAAAGAAGTGTTTTCTTCTTCTTTTTTTTTTTCGGTAACAAGTGTCTTTATTTATAGCTAATTGTTTGATTTTTCTTAATGTTTTGTCTGTGCATGAATGTCCAAACTTTATAAGTTGGATTCACCATGCCTCTACTATTTTATTTTATTTGTCCATTTGCGTGGGCATTGAAAACACATATATGATCAAATGATTGATCAAAAATTAGTATTATAATTTATAAAAATAATAATTTACAAATCAATAATGAATGCGCAAGTACTCGTGAAAGATGTTAGAAGAAGAGCATGCAATGCTAATAAATTGTAAATGGAATGATAGATATATAAATGGTTAAAGTCTAAAATGATGAAGTTTTATAAATTGTGTGGTGTGAAAATATGAGAGTTTTGAAAAAGAATTTTGATTGAACAAAAGATCAAAAAATTTGCATAAAAATATAAAAGTTCTCTAACAATTACTATAAGTTTGGTATTTATAGAAGAATTAGAATGACTCTTTATTATTAGAATTGTATCTTTTTTTTAGCAAACATCATTTCGAGCTTGTAAAAAGTCATATATACTAACTTTACTAGGATATTTGTATCCATCTTTACACAATATTTCAAGTCTTACGTTAGATAAAACTCTTCATCAATCCGAGTTAATTTATTATGTAGCTTGAGAATATGTCAATTTAAAAAAAAATTCATGAACTAGAACCTAATTAGTTATTATTTAATTATTTTCTATGGGCAAGTCTGGCATTTACACCAATATTTTGAGTTTTTTATTTTCTAAACAAATACTATTAAATTTGTTTAAACATGGACTTCAATATTGTTTAACTAATCAGGCAAAGCTAGAGCGAAGTTTAAAAAAGAAAATCATAATGAATTATATTTCTTCAAAGTTCAGTAGAATCCAAGAATTTTAAAGTGACATGAAAAGTGAAATGGTGTTATTTTAATTACCATCTAAATCAAAGTTTTTTTTTTTTTTTTTTTTTTGCTATCAATTCGATGTTCAATCATGACACAACAGGTGAATTTCAAAAGCAAATAATCGAATCAGTAGGTAGTTTGTTGAACTTTAAAAAAAGTAGCAAGCCGAAGATCAAAATTTGAAAAAAGAAAATAAACAAAAAGGTCAAAGGGATCAAAAAAGCAACTGAATATAAAATGGATTCTCTATTTTACGTGAGTCCAAAACCTCTTTTCTTGAAACTTACACAACCATTTTATCACACTTATATTACGTTATACTAAAATTTTATTTTATTGTTTTTGTAATTAAGAAAAAATTGAAATTGTTTGACAAATGTTTCGAAGGATAAAACAAGTTTTGTGGAATATGGGCTAATGCGGTTTAAGAACCTTAATTCAAATACAAGAAAATGTAATAGCCAATTAATAAGTGATGGTAAAAAATTTTCTCATTGGGGTCAATTAATAACCATTACCTATTAAACATATATATCTTAAATTCTAATGAAAAAAATGTTAAATAATGAAAAACAATAGAAAATTAAAGAAATTTAGAACAAGTACAATTAAACAAATAGATTTTCTTTTCACATTTTTTTTCCTAAATTTAATATTTTCTTACCAACATATTTTTTTAGTATGGTAAAATTTTTCTTTCCTGCATTTAGCTTCTGTAATTTTATATGAGTTTTACAAAAAAAATATATTTTTTAATTATAAATGTTAAATATGGTTGTTTATTTATACACATTTGATAAAGGGAAACATCAAGAATAAAATTATCTTGCAATATTTTCGAATATGAGAATGCCATTGCATATAATGCAATGCAAAAACTCTATATTTTAAGAAAATTTGGTTTTACAGAAAAAAGCTATTGAAAAAATGAATTAATACAAAAAAAAAAGGATCGATTGTTTTGGCAAAGAGAATCCTAATGAAACATTAATGAAAAATTAATTACATTCTAACTAAATTTACTGTACCTAGGGGTGCTCGTTCGGTTATTCGGTTCAATTTTGAAATTTTTTGACCGATTTTCGATTAATTAAATTTTTCGAAAAAAAAAACCAAAACCAAACCGAATTATTATTAGATGTTTTGGTTCGATTTTGAAACATACCAATTTTGGTGTTCGGTAATTCGGGTTTTACCTATAATTATGAATTATCTATACTTTTTATTTTTGAAAGGATTGTGCACTTTCGAAAAAAATAAGTTTAATACTTGCATTGCAATTTATGAAACCAAAAATTCAATTCCCCAAAGGCAAAGGAGAAAGGGAAAGGGCCGAAAGGCCGGTGGCGCCATTGCCACTTCCCATTGGGCGATGGCTATTTATGGCCGGCCATAGCCACCCCATTGCCACTCGTCCATTAGGCGGTGGCTATCCGTGGCTCGTGGCCAACCACTACCACCGCCTATTGGGCAATAGCTATCCGTGGCCAACCACTGCCACTACCAACTAGGCGGTGGCTATCCGGGGATTATGGCCAGCCACTACCACTTGCTCAACGTTATGGCTACTTGTGGCTAGCCGGCCACCGCCACTATCCATTGGACGAGTTGGACAATGGCGAGTGGCTTGGCCGTCCGGATTCTAGCATCCTCATCCAAAATCCGACATCTCGATTCCCGCATCCCCATCCAAATTTCAAGTAGGCTACATCACTATTCTATACACTTCAATAATGAAAAGGTAAACATGCCAAACATCAATTCAATTTCAAGTATTCAACAAAATAAAAACAATAATTTAACATTCCCAAATTACTAAGTAAAATCGGTAATTTAACAAAGTAAAAGCAATAAACCAACAACAAGAAAGCAATAACAAGAAGCCAACAATTCAACACTAAGTCACTAACAACTTGTCAAGTAAAATAATTCAAAAAACTTCCACAATCCATAAATAGACAAGTTCAAACAAAAAGGTTCATCAAATGACAAATCCTATAAAGAAAAGAACAAAAATGTCAATTCCATAAAATATAAAGACATTTACAAACAAACATGGACACATAAAAATAATTCATTAGAAACTTACCCATGTTACTCAAAAGATCAAACCACCATCAATTCATCATATATCTATCATAAGTGCATTCGTTGAAAGTTTTAATAAATCGAAACAAAATCAACAATTTAATATTAATTTAGAAGGAAAAAAGACAAATGAAAATATAAGAATTGAAAAACTTACCGACTTTAAGTTTCTCAACATCTTGCAAATCTTCTTCGGTAGTACTTGGCATCGAATTTCGAAGCCAATCTTGAGCACATACAAAGCTTGCACTATGCTAAGAGTTAAAGAACTCCTAAAGGCATCAAAAACTTTTTCTCCAATGTTAAATGTCGATTTTGAAGGAGTTGTAGATATTGAAATCGCTAGCACATCACGAGCCATTTGTGAAATGATGGGAAATCGAAGAGAATTATTTTTCCATCACTCCAAAAATATCAAATTTTTCATCTTCAATTTCTACGGATTCATGAAGATACTTATCTAACTCCGATCTATTATCTCCATCACTTTCATTGAATTTTTGAAATTGCGACATCTTTGCAAGTGTCTTGTTTTTTTCTTCATGGCATCTGTTTACATCACTTACACTTGAAACTTTCGTAATCCTACTATTTTGACTACTAAGACCTTGATTTGGTGATAAATTGCAATATAAAGCATACAAGGGATATATAGATTCTCTCACATCATTTGTCATCTTTTCTCCAAGCCAATCACCATACAATTCTTTTAATGTAAATACAATAAAAATAAGTTTATGTGTTGGATCAAGTACGGCTCCAATATAAATCAACTTATTCATTTTCTTCATGTCCCCCCATTACTTCTCAAACTTTTCTCTCATTTTACTAGCCATTGAATAAGTATCATCATTGACACACTCTTGTCATTCTCTCAAATCGACTTCAAGCGCATAAATTTTATCAAAATAATTATTAGAAGTGACATATGAATGACCCAAAATAGATAAAGTAAAGTCATAGAAATTTTTTAATATTGTCACCATCTTCCTACAAGTACTCCAATCTTCGACACTAGGTGGCCCAAATATCTCATCACCAAGATTCACATTAAATTCAATACTATATAAATGATCAATTTGCTCATATCTCTTAAAAGCTCTCTTAAACTTTTAAACTCGAATCTAACATCAAATA